TATATATTTGGTACATATTAGGCTTATATTTTATTGGGAGTAACATTTCTCCGGTTAATTAGGTGTGGTCATTTCTACATACAAAAAATGTAAGGAACACATAAATTTAACATTTGTTTTTTAAGTTTGTCTAATTAATGTACTTTTCTTATGTTAACCAGCATTGAAAAAAATAAAAATTGATCTTTATTTAATTAATTATTTAATTAAAATAATTCACATGATATTAATAATAAAATTAATTTCAATTTTTGTATTTTTTAATACCAATTACTGTAAAAAAGTGCATTGATTGCACCTTAAAACAGAAATTAGAAAACCCTTTTCTTTTTCTTAGATAATTGATTATGGTGTTTGAAAATATCATCTTATAGGTTGATTTCATTTTGTTAACTAAAAAATATTAATAATTTTATTAATATCAACTAACAGTTATAGCTGTGGCTGCTTCACTAGTCAAACCAAACAACATTCTTAAAGACTATGAAAAAGTTTGTGTGACCAGAACCATACCTAATAAACTCCTTTTATTTTTCGTTCTTTAATAATGAATGTGTGGAAAACTAAGATGTTGAAACGGAGTAATAAATTAATTATTAAATTTAACCCTTCGAGAACCATGTGTCTATAACCAGGAAGAAAAGAACAAGGAAAACAGTGATTCCCTGCACTGCACCAATTGTTCAGGCCATTTTCTAAATGGCTTAGCTGGCCTTCCAGCAGTTCACCAGCCATGAACTAACATGCCGGATCCTATTCTTGCACAAGAGCCATAGGTTGTGAAAGCAAATGATTAATGCAACAAAATATAATGAATGTAGTTAGACCTTAAAAATTCAACATCCTTCTTCTAAAGAAGGGAGTGATACTACGTCTTAACTGAACGGATGCAACAAAAAGAAAAAACAGATATGGGGGCCTAAGCATGAGTAACTATGGAAATTGCTTTATTAAATTATTCCATCAGCAGTTTTGTTGTCGGTCCTACGCAGACGGCATATTTATAACTGTCAATAGTAATAAAATGTGCAGTTTGTACAAATTAAACTATATACCACTTTTTTGTTTACAAGAAATGTATGACCTACGCATCACATCACCGTAAATATGATGATGAAGATAGAAAAACATTTGTTGAAGGTAGTACAAGAGAGGTAACAATGGTGTGATATACTAATATATTACAAAAATTCTTTTTATTTTTTTACAAACCTTAGCTGCATATAAAGTTTTCACTTTTGGTGTCTCAACAATTATGGTGATTCAAAAGAAACTATCTTATTTCAAGAATCTATAGTGGTTCACGCGCCTTCAAATTCTTAAATATGATGAACCTAATTAAATCAAGGAAATTTCACCTGGTGAATCAATATTGTTAACCAAAATAAGTTAATGGTCATGCTCAAAACTTGACAAATGAGAGTCTGTTAGAACAGTGAATAGTTGTGTTTCTACAAGTAGCTGCAAAAAACCCAAAAAAAAGAAAGAAAAAAAAAAAAGCAATGAGTAAGCGACGCTGGTAGCCCTGATAGAACACTGAATACTTGTGTTTTCAGTACATTAAGCAGATTCAAGTTTCAGTTCGGTTATGTTATTTGTCAGATTTTCCAAGTTTCATGCAACATGTGCTTTGTTGTGCTATCTACAGTAGCCAAAGCTTAATGAGGCAAAGTTTAAATGGATCCAGAAAATCCTACTGCCAAGCTTTGAAGGAATATGTAAGATTTGCTTTCTAGGCGGAGGAAATAATAGTCTAAAAATTTCTTTCCATTGACCATAAAAATTCCTTTCTATTGACCATAAAAATTCCACTTTACTGGCTCTTTAGACATAGTTTATCACCATAACTACTCCCAAGTTCATTTCTCTTTTTGAGTCTATTCAGTGTGTTCTCAATCATGTCTTTACAGAAAGGCTATGGAGTATCTAACCCAATTAGTCATTTGAGTTTGATATTATTGAGAGCTCAGGACATTATAGCCTATACAAATATATTGACTTGATTGGCTAGCCTAATGATCATGTACCATAAGAACGACGATTAAATATCCCATCTATACATTAGAAATAACAATAAAATTGAATTGTATGTAAAAGGCATTAGTCAGTAAAATAAGGAATGCGAATTACCTTAATGAAT